TGCCAGCGCTGCATCTGTTTGTTGAAACATCTAAATTGATATTCCGTCACTTTCTGGAGGTTTTTTTTTTGCCAATGCCTCCACTGCAGCTTGTACTTCTTTCAATACTATCAGTTCTCAATCACATGCTATTGCAACACATTATACATGCAAAAAGGAGTATATTTATATCCAGAGTCTATATAAACATATTCATTCTGGGGTTTCAGTCACCTGAAGACTTGACTAGGGCTGGAGGATTTACTTCCAACATGGTTTATTCGCTTGGCTGATGTGATGACAGGGGGCCTCAGCTCCTTACCACATGAGCTTTGCCGTAGGACTCCTTGAGTGTTCCATATCCACAACATGGCAGCTCGCTTCTCCTAGAGTGAGGGACCCAACGGAGAGAAGTTAAAGTCACAATGTCTCTTATAACTTAGCCTTGGAAGTCACGCACATCATTTCTTAAAATTCTATATAATCTTATACCAGGGCATGAATACCAGGAGGTGAGGCTCATTTGGCAGGCTGCATACTACAATAAATAACACACAATTTAGTTTTACTTGTTTTTTTGTACTTTATATAATGAATCTTATAGTGTATAGTTTTCTGTGTCTTGCTCAGTTATGTTTTTCAGATTCAACTGTGTTGATTTGTATAGCTGTAGTTCATTTATTTTTGAAGCTTTATAGTATGCCACAATTTATCTGTTTTACTGATGTAATTACAAACAATGCCTCAAGGAACTTTTTTCAAATGTGAAAGGGTTTCTCTGGGATGATATAGGAATATTCCCTGTGCTGGGTTATACAGAGGGAGCCCTGGTGGTGCAGTTGTTAAAGCTCTAGGCTGCTAACCGAAAGGTTGGTTCTTTTATAGGAGAAAGAGCTATTCTTGATTCTTTGGTATTCCATATACATTTTAGAATCTGTTTATAAAGTTCCATGACAAAGCCTGTTGGGAATTTGATTAAAATTGCACAGGGTTGGGGTGTGAGCAGTTTGAGGAGCCATTATAGCTTGAATCAACTGGAAACAGACTTTTGCAAAAACTAACCAAGCAGTTGCCATCGAGTTGACTCTCGGCATGTGTGTCAGAGTAGAACTGTGTTTCATAGAGTTTTTAAGGGCTGATTTTTTGGAAGTAGATTGCCAGGCCTTTCTTACGAGGCATCTTTGGGTGGACTACAACCTCCAACTTTTCGGTTAGCAGCCTAGTGCATTAACAGTTTGCACCACTATAGGGATCCTGAAAAAAGGAGAAGTGCAAGGAATAGTCCCATATATCTTGGAGAAACCCAAAACCTGCACTTACTCTGCTCCCTGCCCTCTTCTCTTCTGTTTGAGAGAGACTCTAAGTATTAGCCAAAGGTAAGTAAAGGGTAGGCTTATGAGCCACTGTTTACTCAGATGCATTTTTTGAGGAGAAAAACACTATTTGGAGAAGTGGAATTCCAAGTAGGAATTGGGAGAAAGGGCGAGAAGAAGAATGAAGGGAGAATATGCTACTGCAGGAGAGAGGACAGTTACTTTGCTGCTATGCCTGCTGGGCTCTGAAGTTCAAGGGGAGCTCTGAGTGGGGGCTGGGGAAGACTTCAGAGAGAAGGTGGCATTTGAGCTGGGGGCGCAACAGCCTGGGTAAGAGTTCCACTGTGAGCATGTCTGGGGGCTGGGGTTGGGCTGTGGCAGGTCGGGTTGGAGAAAAATGGGTATGGGCATTCCAGGCACACGGAACAGCATACGTAGTAAACAAAGACAAACAAGTGATAGGTTTGTAGGAGGCAATAGGTAGTTCATTTTGAGTGGGAAATACAGGTGGAAAGATAAGTAGTGTTCCGATTGTGTAAGACCATGAATGCCAACCTAAGCACTTTGGACTTTATCCTGGGACGCCAGTGGAGGCTCTTGAACAGGAGAATAAAGGGATCTGAAGTGTGCTTCAGGAAGATAATTGTTGCTGCAGCGCTTCAGGGAACACTGTGGCGCTATTCTAGCCAGCGGCGCCACGAAAAGCACGGTGTGCTGACCGTCCACCTGCAGGGGGCGCGCCGCGGGGCTGAATGCCCTCCCCGCCCTCTTCCTTGCTGCCCGAGCTCTGACGCGCCCCGTTCAAAACTCGCGCTCGAAACTCAGCTAGCGTGCCTGGACGCGATCCCCTCGGGCCTCGGCTAAGTCTGCCTGAACATGCCTCCGTGCGTCACGTCCGCTCTGGCGCAGGATTGGGTCGGTCTGAGTAGGAACATGAGAAGAAGTTTCTGCGCCTGCGCCGGGGAGACCCAATGGGCGGATAATGATGAAGGAGCCTGAGGTCTTCCCGGTCCTTGCTGAGGAGACCAGGGATCTTCCACCTCATGATTCGCACGCTTTGTAGTCCGGCACGACTATCTTCTCTCGCTTCGTATCCATAGGTGTTTTGGTTTGGCCTTCGAGTGTTCGGCACCGTTCCCCCGAGGTCTTTCAGCTGAGAAGAGCCCAGACTTTTCACTGTAATTTCCCTCCAGCTGCTTGCTCTCAGTCTGCGGCCCAGACTTTCAAGCTAGTGAAAAGCTGAGCATACCCAGTCCAGGCTGTAATCCATATTTCTAGGGCTTGTTTCCTTCTGCAGTCAAATCAAACTCGGGAATTGGAGGGACCTTGGACGTCAAGACCAACTTTCAAACCCTCCCCGACATCCTGAGTGAATATTACAGTTTTTACTTGCACACTTCCGAACATCGCTCCTTCCCTGAGGACAATTCTGACTACGTAGTCTTCCTTCCTGAAAGTTACCTCGAAGCAACTTTCATTCTTTCAAGAGTATTTATTGAGTGCCTACCGTGTGCCAGGCACCGTAGGTCTTTGGGATGCAATGATGAACATAAGATTGCCGATCTTTTGGCGTTTACATTCTAGTGGGGGAGACCAACAACTAAAAATAGAGGCCGTGGTTAAGTGCTAGCAAGGAAATAAACAGAGCTATGGTAGAAAAATACAGGCGGGAACTACTTAGAGTGATCAGAAGGCTCTTGGAGGTGGTGAGGTTTGGAACCACCCGAGTGAACAGCTAGGAGCAGAGTTTTTCAGGCTGTGGGAAGAACGAAGCCCTTGAGGCAGGAAAGAGGGTGTTTTCTAGGAACGGACAGAAGGCCAGTGTGACTGGATTGTGGTGAGCCAACGTTGGGAATGGCGAGAAAAGGTTGAGAATGTAAACACAGCTCTGTGGGCCATGGTAGAAGCTTGAAATGTATTAAAAAGAAATGGGAAGTCAAGGAAGAGTTTGTGGCAGAGGCGTGATCTTAGTTCAGTTACTAAGAACCACACAAGCCATTTTTTCCAATCACAGTCCTTTAGATATTTGAAGAGATCCTCTCCTTCCAAGGATCCAAAAATCCTTCCAAGGTATGGTTCCTCAACTCCTTACCCAGAGGGCTTATGGAGTTGAAAATGTCATTCTGAACCCTTTGATAGTATGAGAAAAAATTTTCTGTAGATCATGCACAGTTTAAAAAGAAAGGTCTTAAGACTTTTTATCAGATTCTCAAAGAGGTCCTGTAAAGATTAAGAACCAGTGCTTAAACCTTTCTGACCAGTGTCAACTCCGACCCTGGCTACTTCTCGAAACAGTTTCCTCATCCGTGAAGTGAAAACAATAGGGTTGTTACGAGGATAAATGAGATGATGCTCAAAAAGTGTTGAAGGATAAACTATGAGGTGTCTGCCACAGAGTGCTGCTGTTATAAACAAATACCTACAGCCCTGGGATGGAGGGACAATTTATAGATCAGTGCTCCTCCAGCATTCCACAAACATTCACGAAGTACCTATTCTGTGTAAAACCCCTGGTGAAAAAGATCTGCCTTTCAGGAGTAATCTATTCTTATCTAGTCGAAATAGCCAGGAAAGATACAAAACACGACACACTAAGCTCCCTGAAAGAGGTATAAGTACTCTGGGATTTGGGAGCTTCAGAAGAGGTCTCAATTTCCATTGGAGGACTTGTATTTTAAGTGGGTTTGAAAGATGAACAGATGGAATGTAAAAACACGAACATAAAGAAAATCAGTACTACACGTACACATTCTTTGGTGAATGGAAACATTGCAGTCACTTTTACCACCTCACTAATATTGAGCAGTAGGTTCCGTGAGTAAGGAACTATCTTTTGTCTAGTCTGTTTACTATACATTGCACGCTCTGGGCAGTCCTTATCTTCATGTTCGGGAACAAAGTACACATACGAATACGCCTCTTCCCGAAACGAAAGGCCCAAGGGCTCCGAGAGAAGTGTGCGATCCCTCGCGGTCGAAGCACACAATGGGGGTCGCATCACCGTAGCTCGCCAATCCCCGTCCCTCCCCACCCCCTCCCCCGGCCCCACTCCGCCGGGGTCCAACTTCTCCGGGCTCCTTCGCCCCTCCCCTTCAGCCCCGGGGACGCTGCCACGGCCCGGCCGGGTGCCCTCCCCCTCTCGCGCTTTCTCCTCCTCACTGGTGAGCCAGAAAACCCGGAGCGAACCACCCCGGCCCGGCGGCGCATGCTCAGTATCGAGCAGGTTCAGTTCGCAAGTAGGAAGCTCCAGCGCTACACCGGCGACGGCGGCGGCCGCGGCGGTACTTCAGGGCGGCCAGATTCCCAGTAACGACCTCGGACCCTTCCCCTCCCCCGCGAGACCCCGGCCCCAGCTCTGCCTCGCGTGGGCCCTCGCGCTTTTCGGAGTCCCCGCTGCGCGGAGCGAGCGCCGCGGCCGGAGC